ATTCTTCTGCATGTACATATTTTCAACTGTACATATTCTTCTGCATGTACCAATTGGTACACAATATCTATTTATCTTCTAAGAAGTTTAACCATTCTTATTACTCAAGGTTGAGATGGAGGAGAGGGTTTCCTCAACCTGCTGCTTCTGTTTCAGATTTATGAAGATCAGAAGAACGTAGAAGATTATGTCTCACAATATGGGATTCATTTCACAATAATATTAAGATTGTAAAATTGGAAACCTGCGCAAAAACATTGCTTCTTTGTATCAGCTGTGCAGCGCATTTAAACATTGTTAATGTTAAAAATATGTGTTCAGGGTAACCCTTGTATTAACTTATTTCTGATACGTTAAAATTAATAGTTTGTTCTTAATTTCAATTTTTTAACGGAATACACTCGTGGGGTATCTTATCAACAAAGAATCTTCATTCAAAACAATTAAAATAAATTTTTATTTTTAAAACAATTCTACACTTTATTTTGTTTAATTTCAATAGCATCTTTACATATTGTCAACTTTTTTCTAAAATGTATGAAAGTTTTCTATCTCCAAAATCCTAGAATGTCAATTTTTTTATCTTCATTGAATGTTAATAGTAAACCTATTCATGGAAATTAATGTTGAGAATATCTGGAGTAAACTTAGAGATTTAAGTGTAGCTGAGGCTAAAATAACAGATGCTGAGTTCACGGAAGAAGTAAGATATCTCCCTATGGTGGAGAATCTGAACCTGTGTTGGTGCCCTGAGCTGACTGATTCCGGACTCCAGGAGATATGGAGAATCCCAGGAAGCAGATCAAAGACTGTTTATTGTTTATGTATACGGAACCAATATAGCTTCTGATGATATGGAAACTCTGTGTAAACAATATCCTTTTGTGAGTACTTACTTGACTAGTACAGAATTTACTGATGAATTGATACAGAACTGAAATAGTGAATATCTGTGATTTAACAAATAAATGTATTCCACTCCACTCATCGTTTATAAATTCCTGTTTAGTGGTTTCTATATCAGTGTTTTCTCATTTATTCTTTGACTGTTATTATATTATTTAATGGGATTTTTCATGATGAGTCATTAAAGTCTTAAAGTTTAATTTCCCAATTTTCAGAGAATAAAAACACAGAGGAAATGGAGAACAAGTTATCAGGATTAGAGAGCATGGTAGTTTATGATCTAATGGTTGTGCTCAAGTATTTAACCAAGAAGGACAAGGGATCACTAAGAGCATCAAGTACAACCTTGCTGAGACGGATTGATGAGTTGGAAAAGAACACCTTCAAGGTTTGGAGGATACACGGGGAAGTTGATTCTTCTAGACTGAAAAGATTATCAGACGAGATACGTACTATTCAAGGTAACACCTTCAATATATAGTCCGTAATACACATTTTCAATTTCATTCTCAAATTTTCTCATAACACATTTAAATTAAATATTTTTTATTTTAAACAGAATTTTTAAACAATTTTAAAATTGTTTATTTTGATTAATATTTTGTCAAATTTCTTCTTCGATAAACTATTGAGAAAAAATTGTTTATGTCACCCATCAACTAGAACTGGATTGAACAACTAGTTGTCAAGTGGAGTTAAACTCTGCATAGTCATGCCGTCCCAAATTGTCAATAAAACTTTTTATCACCAAATTTTGCCAAGTTATTTCAAAATCCGATATTAACTTGAAAGTAATATGTGAATATATCTTTATATCATTGTTAAACCCCAAAACTCGAGGCTTATGATGTCAAGAAACCGTATTTAAATATGAATAAATTGCTACCTTGAACTCATCTTTGCGTCGCTAGAACGGAACTTGAACGCTGCAAAATACTCGTCAGATCCTCTACATATCTTCTGTAAGATACAGCAATCAGCGTTCGTTCTAAATAATAAAATAAAATAAATACTTAAGGTTTTATATCTACAAAGAAAAGGTTATCAGAAATATATAAATACGATCATTTACTAGTACTAAAATCACAATAAAATCTTCAAGCCGGGTTTTGCTTCACATAGCGTCTCATTCTAAGGGCTCAGATAGTTTATCGGTCCGAAGACTATTTCATTTACAAAAAGCCTTGGTTACCTCAAATTGCGTCACAATACGTCTAAAACCTTGACGAAAACCAACTTGTCTCCGTGCGTCTAATACATCCTTCTGAAACTTTAACTCTTTGAACCTAATTTAACTTGAGGAAACAATAAATATCGATCTTTTAACCACCGCGCCTTATCTTGAACTCAGGGGGTATTTCACGGTAAAATGAAACTCATTCTAAACCATCCGGTATTGCACATATTTTAGGTCGTCTTTACACGGAAGACAATCAATCAATCTCCTTAATACCTTTGCAATAAGGATTCTCCGTTCACATAATGGTTCCCTTAAACTAACACTTAGATAAGCCGGTACTGTATTAATGCATAATCTGAAGGCCCCTGCTTGCTTTCTTACATAGAACTTAAATCATTCCGTCATATTTAAAGTCTTCCAACTCCGTACTGCTTATATTCAGACCAGTAGAAACTTGAACACTTCTGTCATAATCGTTCCTTCATAGTTTTACTCATATACTTTTAAACCCGGAGAAAATTCTATATTATCTATAGGACTCAAATCTCTTTAGGTTCATTTCTCCGCAGATACCTGATTTCACAATCTTTACTCCGGGTCCTAAATAAGTAGGGTAACTTATCATTTTTATCTCCGGAGAAGTCTATAACCTCCAAACTCAACTCCATGATCATTCTCCGGAGAGAATACTCAGAACTTGAAACCCACAAAACAATCATAATTGTAGAAGAGTGAATATATTTTATTTTTAGAGTTGGCAATCTATACTCTTATTACACCTGGTTGTGGTCCAGCGTTCAACTACTTGGTGGAGAAACACGAGGAGCTGGAATCTATCCGTATAGGATTTGTTAAACATGAGAATGAATATGAAAATAAGGATCAGGATGAAATCGTTCTGAGAACACTCTCTCATAACAATTTAAAATCTATTACTATTTATGGTATGAAGAATACAGGAGATATTACTGGTCGTCTTCCCAGCACTCTTCCTAACCTAGAGAAGCTACAGCTGACAGCTGATTGCGATGAGTTGTCAAATGGAGGACTGGTGGAGATACTGAGAATATCTGGGAGTAAACTCAGATATCTGGATGTATCCTGGACTAGTGTCACAGGGGTCGGATTTAAGGACGGAGTAAAATCTCTCCCTATGTTGGAGAACCTAAAACTGGTATTCTGTGATGAGTTGACTGAAGAAGGACTCCAGGAGATACTAAGCACAGCAGGGAATAGATTGAAGATTTTGTGTGTGAATGGAGAAAGAATATCTGCTGTTTGCATAGAAACTCTCCGTATTCTTCTGTTTAATTTGAGTCGTAACCTGTGAACACAGATAATTAAGAACTGATGAATATTACTCGGACGAATGCTTATCAATATAGAGTATCCTCCGAATTTCTAGATTCAAGATTTCTATTGTTGTCAAAGTTTTTACTTTGTTTTAATTCTTCTAAATGACACTTTTTATGGCAGTTTTTGGTTTCTACAGTCAACACAAACGTTCATTTTTGTGAATATGTTTGCTTTGTTATTTAATCTGAATGCGGTTTCTTTGTTTATATTTGTTGCAAATATTTTAAAATATTTAAAAGTGTTCATGTTAATTTGTTTCTTTTTTGTAATCTTTCTAATCCAACTAAATCAAACCTCTTTTCAATTGTAATTTGTAAATTCATAATTCCAAATTAACATTAATTAGATTTATGTTTTTCTTCAATGGATCCTAATTGTATGTTAATGTTTGACCTAATTTCAGAGATAAGAAAGAAACAGTTTAGAATGGACAACAAGTTATCTTTGCATAGAGAGGATGGGTGATCTTACAGTAGTACTCAAGTATTTAACTAAGACGGACAAGATGTCACTGTGAGCATCTAGTACAACCTTGCGGAGATGGATTGATGAGTTAGAGAACACCTTTAAGATATGGAGCAAAAATGAATTAGATGCGACTAATATGGGTGTATATTAAAGACACTTCCTAAAAGAATTTATGGTTTGATAAGATTTTAAATTGTCATTTTCTTTGTTTGTGTCCGATAAAATTTAATCTATTTAGAGATATTAAGTTTTTCTAGGAAAAAAAATTATTTGGATCTTTAACCTTTAAAGAGACTAACTAAAGTATGATATGGTTTTAAATAATTTAAAATCATAATTTTCTGTTTGTAGAAATATTAATTATTTTTTTATAATTTTATTTTCCTTTCCTGATTTGATTTTGCATCATAGAAATGATTCTTAGTCTTTTTCAGGAGTCGGTTGCAGACGATCCCTGGGACAGTTGGCTTTATTTTCATGGCCTAAAATTCTGAAAGACCTAAAATCTTAAAATAATTATTATAATGGACATGAAAAAATATTTATACGAAAACCTCTCCCCTCCGTCCCCTATCTAGGTCCCTAATAAGGGGAATGAATTATTAATTGATAGAATACCGGTATTATTATTACAACAGTTATTACAAATTACTGGTCCTTTCAGGTTAAAATAAAAGTTATCAATGTAATTCTGGGAATGTATTCAAATCCTCCAAGAATGTGGTATAATATTATTATGCGTAGGAAGAAAGTATAATAATCAAAATTATTCCACGGTTTTTCTTTTAATATTATAACAATTTTGATAATTACACTTTCTTCCTACGAACAATAAACTATTATCAGGTTGCTCAGATAAATAGAAAATTTGAGTTTGTGACAAATACTTTATTCATTTTGTAATAGTTTATAATTTTATAATTTTATAATTTTATAATTTTATAATTTTATAATTTTATAATTTTATAATTTTATAATTTATAATTTTATAATTTTATAATTTTATAATTTATTAGTCGAAGGAACTGAGCCACAAAGTCATATTTTCTAATCCCTATATCTTAGCAACCTGATGGTGTAAACCATTAATATTTTAGACTTTGATTATTTGATCCATCAGAATTCATAGTTTGAAACATTAAATGTGTAAGACATGTTGTTGGAAAAGTATAGGGATTAGAAAATCAGAGTTTGTGGCAAAGACTTAATTCCTCTGTCCTAGGACTGATGATGATATAAAAATATCGAAAGATAACTTTTTTTAACACTTTTTTTAAAAAAAAGAGTATTGTTTATGTCCAATATTCTTTAAAAGGTTAATACCCCCTTCCCCCGATTTACGTAAAAGTTCGTTAATTAGATCGACACCCACTGCCACTTTATACACATATATATATATAAACAGTTTGTTTTTAATCTTCCTGACAGAAACAATCTCAGGGAATGATAATTGTCTTAAAACATTTTTTAAAAAGTGAATATTTGCAAATTATCTTTTTTCCACCTCTTGACCTGAGTTCGTTTCCCTTTTTTCCATTTGACAGTCCAATTTTTTTTTCAGATAATCTGTTTTGTTTGTTTATTTTCTTGTGGTTTTTAACATTTTTTTATCGATTTTGATTGTTATTATATCGTTAGAACAACCACCAAAATATATTTTCAATAAATGTGGAACTAACATCTACTTTTTTTACTCTACAGAGGTTTGGTCCATCCCCATCACCAAATTTTTAATTCACTTTTAACTAATTGGGATTTTTACAATTTTTATCCAAAGGTTGATTTAAGTCTTTTGCCTTAAATGGTAAAATGTCATTTGTGGTTCTTTATCTCGAATTATTTACTTTTATCCATTTTACACAATTTCTATCCAGAAATTATCATGTTTTAAGGTACACACTGTATGATAAAATTTTTTATTTTACACCAATTGATCAGAAATGTTTAGGTAATGTGCTATGAAGTTTTACTTCAATTCGATCTGATCAATTTCACATATTTTACACCAATTGATCAGAAATGTTTAGGTANTTCACCAAGTGATCAGAAATGTTTAGGTAATTTGCTGTGAAGTGTCACTTTTATTTGATCTGATCAATTTCACATATTTTACACCAATTGATCAGAAATGTTTAGGTAATGTGCTGTGAAGTGTCACATTTAGTTGATCTGATCAATTTCACATATTTTACACCAATTGATCAGAAATGTTTAGGTAATGTGCTGTGAAGTGTCACTTTTATTTGATCTGATCAATTTCACATATTTCAACTGATTTTATATTTTCAATATTTTATTTAATTCTATTAATTATGATATTTGGGTTCAAATTGATATCTTTCAAAAGTCCGTTTTATTAAATCCCAAGCAAATTGGAGAAAATTTGTTCTATCAGTATTTTTATCTTCAAATCTTCTAAAATATAGACTGTCTGCACTGTGTTATTCGAAGCAAAGGAATTGAATCCTTGTCAAAATCTCTGATTTTCTAATCCCTGTATTTAGGTAACCCAATGTCGTAGACCTTAGATATTTCAAACTATTAATTCTGATAGATCAAATTATCTAAGTTTGAAATATCAAAGGTCTACACCATCAGGTTGCAAAGATATAGGGATTAGAAAATTTTAGTTTGTGGCAAAGACTCAATTCCTTTATAAATAAGATAATAGCATAGACATTGGTTATCATCAAAAGTTATTTTTTCAGTCAAAAAATAAAGGCTTTAAACGTACAATCGACATTAATTTACTAGTCATATTTTTTTTTTTTTCCTCAACTTTTATTTTTAGATCGTTTTCAATTCAGAAAAATTTAAATATTTTTTATTTTATTTTCAAAATTACGTACATACATACATTAAAAATCACCAACAATATTTATCAGTTGATTTATACATTTTGCAAACATTTATCTGCTCACAGGCTTGCAAACATTTGGCTGCTTGCAGATTTGCACACATTTGCCCGCTTTCAGATTGCAACACATCATTTAGAATATTCTTTTGCTTTCTCAGAGCACTGCCCGTAAAATTTCTAGATTGCATTTAGGCAGGGTTGGATATTATTTCCGGATAAAAATATTTCTTTTAAAATTATCTTTTTTTTGATCTGATAGAGTTTGTTTAAAAAAGTGCAGATAAACTGGAGACAGTTCGGGTCAGGTTTTATAATAATAAGGAAGGCGTGACCATGACCGATTTTTTCGTGAAAACCCTAAGGTTTTTTAATTGAAAACTAGAAAAGAAAAAAAAATTTAAAATTATTTTCTAACACAAATGAATGAATGAATTCATTCATTCATTCCCTGTCGAAATTATTGGCTTGCTAACGACAAAAAACTATTTTTTTCTTTCGCACATTGTAAGACTAAAGAAACAAAAAATACATTCCGGGTTAGAATAAATAATTATAGATTTATGCATAAAATATTCTCAACGAATAATAGATATTTTTTAATTCTTGTCAAAGGAATCCTTGTTTAGCTTTAAAATGGTGGTTTTAAGGTTTACGATGTTTTAATGCCGAAATGTAAACTATTTTGGCCATCTATAAAAACATGATTAATTTGAGAAGTAAATTAAGGGAGGACAATGTTATGATTTTGTTTAGAGAAAAATGTTATATTTATTAAACGTAACATTTATTAAATGTATTTCTGCAAAATACATTACTGCATGCAAGGAAGATACAATCTTCATGCAAGGAAGATATAATCTACACGCAAGGAAGATACAATCTTCACACAATGAAGATACAATAGGAAAACGGAAAATCTTTGTTTACTGCATTTTGCGGGAGGAATGTGAACAATCTCAGGCGGTGCAGAGTTTTGTTTTTATTCCTTACAGAAAATGCAGTACACTTTTTTGTAAACAAAGATGCGGGTTACTGATATATCTTTCTTGGCAACATGGATATTTGTTTGTAAAGAAGAAGATAATACATTTTAGTTTGAGTTTAGCTAAATGTTAGGCTATCAAGTTGAACTAAAGGCTGCAGAGATCAAACTATCTAAACCTTGCTGAAGGTTTGGTTCTTGAGACGGTTTGATAAAACTGCTCTAGTACTCATGTTATCCTTGAGATTGTAAGCTGGACCTAGAGTCAGAGAACCACAAACTATTCCACCTTCTCCCTCCTCCGACTTAACCTTCTGTACTGTAACATAATGAAGGAGAAGAGGGTCAGGGAACCCGTCTACTCCTTGTGCTAGGTGGGCCCTGGAGCTGTTGGAGTACTCGTCCGCATCCGTCCTTGCTCCGGGGTCAGGGATTAGTTTGGTTCCTAGGTGTGTAGATGCTTTGATTAGGTCTGCTACTCCTTTCCGTTCACTTTTCTCCGGTCTATTCTTCCCTCGTCTCCGGATACACAATACAATACAGAATATCAGGAGAAAGCAGATTGTGAGAAGAATAGCGAGACTGAGGAAAATTAAACCGTAAACATCATTTACAATCAGGACGGACAGAAACACTGAATCATTTCTCGGAGAAAAGTCTTGAAGATTCAAAGAAAAGAGAGAAAATATATTCTCAGCACTCTCGTTCTTGAGAGGTTCATCAAACTTCTCCAGTCCTTCCAACATATCTGGAAATATCTCTGGTTGGTATAATTCCAAGCACTCAGGAGGCAGGGTTTCATCCTTACTTCTCCGGTTACATTTTATATTGATATGTTGAAACTGAAGCATATTTAGAGCATTGGATACATCCATGAGGTTATAGCTCACGTTCACCTCCTCTCCCATCGTCAAGGAGATGGA